TCTCTCTCGTCGATGTTTCTGACTCTCTATCTCTCTCCCTTCCTCTCTGTAAAAAATCAATAAAATATATATATATAAAAGACTGTGCACAAAGCTCACAAGGGGGTGCACCAAGAGTGTCTACCTCAGGTAATTGGGACACTTAGCACAGAAAGGCACTCTATCGACACAGCGAAGCATAAAAAATGCCGAGACAAAGAAACAGGACACAATGACAGAAATGGAGGAAAGCAAACTGCTGGATATAGAGTTCAAAACCACACTTTTAAGTTCTTTAAAGAACTGTCTAGAAGCCGCCGATAAATTTGGTAAGACCCTCAAAAAGACTGGTGAGACCGCCAATAAATATAGTGAGATCCTCAAGAAATCTAGTGAGACCCTCGATGTTGTGATAAAGAACCAACTAGAAATTAAGCATTCACTGACTGAAATAAAGAATATTATGCAGACTCCCAACAGCAGACCAGAGGATCGCAAGAATCAAGTCAAAGATTTGAAATACGAAGAAGCAAAAACACCCAACCAGAAAAGCAAAATGAAAAAAGAATCCAAAAATACAAAGATAGTGTAAGGAGCCTCTGGGACAACTTCAAGCGTACCAACATCTGAATTATAGGGGTGCCAGAAGAAGAGAGAGAGCAAGATATTGAAAACCTATTTGAAGAAATAATGACAGAAAACTTCCCCTCCCTGGTGAAAGAAATAGACTTCCAAGTCCAGGAAGCGCACAGAACCTCAAACAAAAGGAATCCAAAAAGGACCACACCAAGACACATCATAATTAAAATGCCAAGAGCAAAAGACAAGGAGAGAATCCTAAAAGCAGCAAGAGAAAGAAAATCAGTTACCTACAAGGGAACACCCATATGACTGTCAGCTGATTTCTCAACAGAAACTCTGCAGACCAGAAGGAATACCAAGAACCTACAACCAACATTACTTTATCCAGCAAAGCTATCATTCAAAAGTGAAGGTCAGATAAAGAGCTTCACAGATAAGAAAAAGCTAAAGGAGTTAATCACCACCAAACCAGTATTATATGAAATGCTGAAAGGTATCCTTTAAGAAGAGGAAGAAAAAGGTAAAGATACAAATTATGAACAACAAATACACATCTATCAACAAGTGAATCTAAAAATCAAGTGAATAAAAAATCTAATGAACAGAGTAAACTGGTGAATATAATAGAATCAGGGACATAGAAAGGGTGTGAACTGACTATTCTTGGGGGGGAAAGGGGTGTAGGGGTGCGGGAAGAGATTGGACAATAATCGTGCACCTATGGATGAGGACAGTGGGTGGGGAGTGAGGGTGGAGGGTGGGGTGGGAACTGGGTGGAGGGGAGTTATGGGGGGAAAAAGAGGAACCAATGTAATAATCTGAACAATATTTAATTAAAAAAAATAAAATAAAAAAAAGCAGGGAAAACAAAAATCCAGCCCTGTGAAAATGACAGTTGTTTGTGCTGTAAACTTGGGAAGCTTCTTTCATTTCTCTGACAATGTATTTTTTCAGTAATTTTATAGGAGTTTCCACTTGCCCTGGTTGTTGTGATTATTAAAAAAAACAAACAAACAACAAAAAAACTGCCCTAACTGATTTGGCTCAGTGGATACAGCGTCGGCCTGTGGAATGAAGGGTCCCAGGTTCGATTCCAGTCAAGGGCATGTACCTTGGTTGCGGGCACATCCCCAGTAGGGGGTGTGCAAGAGGCAGCTGATCGATGTTTCTCTCTCATCGATGTTTCTAACTCTCTATTCCTCTCCCTTCCTCTCTGTAAAATATCAATAAAATATATTTTTTTTAAAAAATCTGCCCAAACAGGTTTGGCTCAGTGGATAGAGTGTAGGCGTGGGGACTGAAGTGTCCTGGGTTCAATTCCGATCAAGGGCATATGTCCGGGTTGTGAGCTTGATCCCCATTAGGGGGCGTCAAGGAGGCAGTTGATCAATGAATCATCGTTGATGTTTCTCTCCCTCTCCCTCTCGTGTCCTCTGCTAAATCAATAAAAATATTTTCATTTAAAAAAAAGAAAAGAAAAAAAAATCCACAAAAATCTAACCCTGGAACCTTGACAAGTACCTTGTTACTTTCATTGATCTTGGAAGGCCAGAGTAAGCACCATCGATCATCTACATGTCATATTCAGCCAACTGAGACTCAGGGAGCTGTAGCGAGTGTGCTGAAGATTCCCAGGTTGGGCCCACCACAATTAGACCTGAGTGCCCACAGAACCTGCCTCCCTGCAGCAGAGTCGGGGGCTACTTATAGGTCCCATTTTTCACTAAAATGCACCCAAACGTGCTTGTGGGCATTGGGGAGTGAGAAGTGCCTGCCTGGGAATATCTCTGCAGGGAGAGGCTGCAGTTAAAAGGAGACAGAGAGGGAGAGAGAAAATCAATGCTGAGAAAGAATCATTGATCAGCTGCCTCCTGTATGCTCCACACTGCGGATCCAGCTAGGGCACAGGCATCCTCCCTGACCGTGAATGGAACCGTGACTTCCAGGTTCACATGTTTAATCTAGATGTCCGGTAAACAAAATTCATGCACTCAAGGGGATCCCTCAGGCCAGCCTGTGCCCTCTCGCAGTCCGGGAGCCCTCCGGGGATGTCCAACTGAAAAAAGTTAATAACATTTATATCCATAGAAAGAATTATACAGAAATATTTGTACCAGCTTTATTAGAAATAACCAAGTATTTATTAAAATGGACAACATGATCATGATATATTCAAAGATAAGAATATCTACCAAATCCCTAGCTGGTTTGGCTCTGAATAGAGCATAGACCTGCAGACCAAAGGGTCCCTGGTTCGATTCTAGTCAAAGGCACATATCTTGGTTGAAGACTCCTTCCAGCCAGCGCACTGGTCAGGGCTGATGCAGGAGGCAACCAATCGATATGTTTCCTTCACATCAATGTTTCTCTCTGTCTTTCCCTCTCTCTTCCACTCTCCGAAAAAATCAATGGAAAAATATCCTCAGGTGAGGATTAACAACAACAAAAAGAATATATATATAAAAAAAAAAGCCAAAACCGGTTTGGCTCAGTGGATAGAGCGTTGGCCTGCTGACTGAAAGGTCCCAAGTTCGATTCCAGTCAAGGGCATGTACCTGGGTTGCGGGCACATCCCCAGTAGGAGATGTGCAGGAGGCAGCTGATCGATGTTTCTCTCTCATCGATGTTTCTAACTCTATCTCTCTCCCTTCCTCTCTGTAAAAAATCAATAAAATATATTTTTTTAAAAAATGAGTTACTAATATATCTTTAATAAATTTCCAAGAATATATGAAATAAAAATTAAAGCAGAAAAATTCTTCAAAAAAGCAAAGTTCTCTATTAAAATGGAATGTAAATCCATGGTTACTAGGAAAGGTGTGAAGAAAAGGGACAGATTAAACAAGGTCATGAAGCAATTACACAGGGACAGATATGGTCAGTATTATGAGTATAATGATGGTTTCAGTTTCATGCACATGTCAAGATTTATGAAACACTATTCTTAACTCATGCAATTTACTCATTATAGCTTTTCAAAAATGGTTCAAGATAAAACCAATGTACGTTCACCTATTTTGGAACAACAGGTTTTTCAAATCTATATTCAATACACATTCTTCTGCCCTGTGGGGAAGAGTATCATCTCAGTGACAGAAAATGTAATAAACAATGAAGAACTTTCACCCAAACCCACTGCAGTGTTGACTGGGTCACAAAAGCCACATCTCTGGCCTAAAGACACACTTTGGTGTCCTCTTAGTTTTGCTGCCAGAGGACCACTGGCTCTAGTGGGAACATCTAAGAGGCTACAGGAAGCCATAAAACCTCTTGATAATAATCAATGACAATGACTGCTCCACAGAAGATAAACATGCCTGGAGTCCCTCAGATCTGTGTATCCACGGCTCTTATATTCTTTTCCTCAAAAAAATTTCTCGGTGCAGGTTTAGATGAAGACCATTCCTTCTAATGGGCTGCAGTCTGGTCCAACAAGAATTAGGTCAGTGATTCCACAGTGAAGGGGTCCCCCTCACTGCGATGGTCCTCCAACAAGTGCCCATCACCCATGCAATTGAAGGCATTAGGGAACATGGCCCTCTGCAACACCTGGGGAAAAGAATCCCTTCAAATGTCTTAGCATCCCTTGAAAACAAGAAAAAAATTCACAGTACTCCCAGACATACTTGAGGTTGTCACAGCTACCACCTCTGTGATCTCTGTGTCTGAAAGCACCCAGCTTCACATGAGGATCAGAGAATCCAGTGTTTACTGGGAAATTATGTGCAGCAATGTAAATTTAGCAAAAACTGCTGAGGTAATTTCTGCACCATAGACTTCCCTCAAGGGCAAAAATGTTTGAGACCTCATAAAAGTTTTTCACCTCATCATACTTGGAGAGCCATGATCTCCTTAAACTAGCCCATAGAATCAATACAACACCCAACATTAAAGAAGTCTTAGGAAAAAGCCTTCAGTATTTTCCAAAGACAGAGACCTCAGTCTGGCAGTTCTCCATTGATGACTTGGGTACTCAAGAAATTCATCATTAGCATCTAGGGAACGTGTGTCCCTGAATATGGCAGTTCTTCTGGAACATTATGTTCACTGCAGCCAATGGTATTCAGTCCTATTTGGCAACTTATGACAGGGAAACACCGAAGAACTAAGGGCTGAGGTATTCCTAATTTTCTACATCAAATTAGACAAGAGATTTAGCTTCCCTGGGCACATGAGGATGGTGATTGATGGCATCTGTAGGGGGCCTTATACATGGTTCAGGTAAAATACCTTCAGCAACACAAATATGCAGTAACATACACCTGGTAACATGTCTCTGTATGTTTGAAAGTGCAACATAGATACATATTGATCCAACAGAAATACTAACAAACACAACAACAAAAACAGTTGGAGGACTTTACCTAATGTAGGTGACTAAATGTATGAGACATAATTCAGACTGAGAGTTCACATATTTTCTTATAAAATTGTTAAGTCCTAACTAAGAAACTATATTTACTACACATCTAAGAAATTTTTCACAGTTGGACTCTTTCGTGCAGAAGGAATTTACAAATTTGGCTGAGAGGTATCTCACATTAATTGCACTTATAACGGCTTTCTCCAGTATGAAGTCTCTGATGACTACGAAGGTACTTGCTGGTGGTAAAACATTTTCCACATTCATTGCATTTATAAGGCTTTTCTCCAGTATGAAGTCTCTGATGACTACGAAGGTTAAAGTTACTGGTATAACATTTTCCACATTCATTGCATTTATAAGGCTTTTCTCCAGTATGAAGTCTCTGATGATTACGAAGGTACTTGCTGGTGGTAAAACATTTTCCACATTCATTGCATTTATAAGGCTTCTCTCCAGTATGAACTCTCTGATGAATACGAAGATCGGTGCTGCTGGAAAAACATTTTCCACATTCACTGCACTCATAAGGCCTTTCTCCAGTGTGAACTCTCTGATGAGAATGAAGTAAAGTGCTAGTGATAAAAGATTTCCCACAATCATTGCAGTGATAAGGCCTCTCTCCAGTGTGCACTCTCTGATGACGACGAAGACCACTGTTCCAGGTAAACAATTTCCCACATTCACTGCATTGAAAAGGCTTTTCTCCTGTGTGAACTCTCTGATGATACTGGAGACCACTGATATTTGGAAAAGACTTTCCACATTCCCTGCATTTATAAGGCTTTTCTCCTGTATGAACTCTCTGGTGACAATGAAGGTACCTGCTGGTGGTAAAACATTTTCCGCATTCATTGCATTTATAAGGCTTTTCTACAGTATGAAGTCTCTGATGACTACGAAGGTACTTGCTGGTGGTAAAACATTTTCCGCATTCATTGCATTTATAAGGCTTTTCTACAGTATGAAGTCTCTGATGACTACGAAGATACTTGCTGGTGGTAAAACATTTTCCACATTCATTGCATTTATAAGGCTTTTCTCCAGTATGAAGTCTCTGATGACTACGAAGTTTAGAGTTACTGGTAAAAGTTTTCCCACATTCACTGCATTGATAAGGTTTTTCTCCTGTGTGAACTCTCTGATGATATTGGAGAGCAGGGTGACTGGTAAAAGACTTTCCACATTCACTGCATGTATAAGGCTTTTCTCCAGTGTGAACTCTCTTATGATGACAAAGGGCAGTGCTGCAGGTAAAAGATTTCCCACATTCACTGCATTTATAAGGCTTTTCTCCTGTATGAACGCTCTGATGATTGTGAAGGGGAGAGTTAGTTATAAAAGATGTTTCACATTCACTGCATTTATAAGGCTTTTCTCCTGTGTGAACTCTCTGATGAAAATGAATGGCAGTGTTTCTTTGAAACGTCATCCCATGTGTCGAAATAGCATTTGGACTGTCCCCAGTCTGAGTAGCCTTTAGGTGGAGATGTCCTAACCTTGTAAGGACACCCTGCCCAACCTCCTCGCATGTGAAACGATTCTGGGACACATTGAAATTGCAGCTGTTTGCAAGTGAATTCCTTTCCACACCCCTAATGAAAGTCTTCTCTCTAACATGCTGCTGGTGAAATTTTGCACTGAAATAAAACCATTTTGCACACGATCCACACCTCAAAGGTATCTGTCCGTGTTGGGAGCCCTGTCTCTCCATCCAGTGGAAAATGTTTCCCAAAACTAACCCATAACTGTCACAAGGATGGTTCTTCTGGGAAGACAAGGCTACCTTGGGATTCCTTGCCTGTGACACTCTTACAGTAACCTTCTGTTCAGTCAGTGCCTCCACTTTCTTTGCTCCACAACAGCAACCTGAACAAAAGAAAATGAAGGTGAAGTACATGTTGACCTGATAAAATTAGAATATCTTCACCACAAATGTTTATCTGTCATGACTAGGCCTGATGCCATAGAAAGATTTTCAAGATGAGTTAGACTCTGAGGAAGATGCTGTTATACATAACATGGCCCCAAAAGACAGTCGATGATGACAATCTCATCAAGGGAGGGACAGAAGCACAAGATGGGACACAAAGAAGAGAGGAAGACTCTACTCATTGTTCCTGCACAAACGGCTTCCTTTAGGACCTTACATGCTGGCCATGTGAGTCTGTGTAGAATAATTTAAAGCTGCTCAAAGCCATAAAAATTAATTGTATTAGAGCACATGATGTTCAACGTCAATATAACAACAGGTGTGCACTCTAAGGTGCTGCAGGCATGGACCCACATTGGTATGCATTAAAGACAGACCTGTGAAAGAGGCAGAGGTGCAATGTCCAGAGAGGTGAAGGTTATCCGTGGGCTGGGAATCTGAGTAGAAATGATCACTATTAAAACTGAGTAGTTGGCAAAGTATCAACAATAAACACAAAGTAGCATAACTGGGTGAGGAATGGGAAACTATAATAAAACAGAAAAGTTTTATGGTCAACACTGTGGTAGAACAACAAAGGACAAATGAGATCACAGGCAAAAGATCTATATGAGTGACATCAGCAAGATGGCAGGATCAGAGATATGAGCATCTTCCCTATCCCACTGTAAGTAGACAGCGATCCATGAACAAGGACCCCATAGGAAATGGGAATAAGAGTACCAAGAAAACAAATAGTATTACAGACACAAATAAAGGAGAACTGTACAGAAAGGATGATTAGAAAAGACTGCATGAACAAAAATATTTGAAGACACAGAAAGTAAAAAAAAAAAGGACCAGAGTTACCTCCAACAACCACTGTGCGTCTGCTATCACCGACGATAATGGTCTGTTTTTCAAAAAAAAATACTGGAAATTTTTGTGTTTAAAAACCACAGAATGCCTTGACCAGTATGACTCATTTGGTTGGAGCATTGTCCTGTGTACCAAAGGGTCCAGGATTCAATTCCCAAACAAGGCATATATCAGCATGTGGGTTCCATTTCCAGTTAGCTTGTGTGCCGAAGTCAGCCGAATGATGTTTCTCCCTCACACTGATGTTTCTCTTTCTTGCTCTCTGTCTCTCTCTCTTTCCATCTCTTTTCCACTATATCTGAAATCAATAATAAATAAATAGAAAAGAATATCAAGGTAGCCAAACACAAAACAGAACTAAAAAAAGTGTAGACACAGCCCTGACCTGTTTGGCTCAGTGGATGGAGCGTCAGCCTGTGGACTCCAGGGTCCCAGGTTAGATTCCAGTCAAGGGCATGTACCTTGGTTGCGGGCACATCCTCGGTGGGGGGTGTGCAGGAGGCAGCTGGTCGATGTTTCTGACTCTCTATCCCTCTCCCTTCCTCTCTGTAAAAGTCAATAAAATATATTTTTTAAAAATTTTTTAAAAAAGTCTAGAGACAAAGTAAATAAGAAGACAACTTATCAAAAATCATGTAAAAAATTCAGAAAATGCAAATCTAAGAGGAAATTTTATATGGATAAATGACTACATTATGAAAAAAGATCTCAAGGAGAACCAAGATGGCGGCATAGGTTAACGCCGGAGTTTGCTGCCTTGAACAACTACTTCAAAAGTGAAACTAAGAGACGGAACGGACATCACCCAGAACCACAGGAACGCTGGCTGAGTGGAAGTCCAAAAACTAGGAGGAAAGAGAAACCCATACGGACACTCAGAGGAGGCGCAGTGCTGAAGTCAAATTCTGAGGTGCGGAGTGCACGGAGCGGGCTGGCGGCGGAGGGTGCAGTTGGCGTTTTCAATCGGGAGGGAGTCGCAGACTCTGAGCTCCAGATACGGGCGGGTCTTTAGGGACCCAGACTCAAACGGGAGAAGCGGGACTGTCTGGCTTCCGTCAGAGCGAGTGCAGCTTTCTCTCTGAGGTTTGCAGCGGTTGCTGGGACTCAGAGAGGCAGAGCCCCTGGGGACAGGACTGAGAGCCGCCATAACTGCTCTCTCCGGCCCACCCTGTTGATCCTGTGGGACCCGCCCCGCCCAAGCCCTGCACAGAGGCATTTGCCGGATAGCCTCAGGCAAAGGCTAGATTAGCACCTCCCTAGAGGACAGAAGTTCTCTCACTGCAGACACAGCTGATTCTCACAGCCACTTGGCCTGGAGGTCAAACCCTCCCTGGTATTAGCTACAACAATCAAGGCTTAACTACAAGACTGCGCACAAAGACCACTAGGGGGTGCACCAAGGAAGCATAACAAAATGCGGAGACAAAGAAACAGGACAAAATTGTCAATGGAAGATATAGAGTTCAGAACCACACTTTTAAGGTCTCTCAAGAACTGTTTAGAAGCCGCCGATAAACTTAATGAGATCTACAAGAAAACTAATGAGACCCTCGATGTCATGATGGGGAACCAACTAGAAATTAAGCATACACAGACTGAAATAACGAATATTATACAGACTCCCGACAGCAGACCAGAGGAGCTCAAGAATCAAGTCAATGACTTGAAATGCGAGGAAGCAATAAACACCCAACCGGAGGGGCGGAATGAAAAAAAAATCCAAAAATGCGAGGATAGTGTAAGGAGCCTCTGGGACAGCTTCAAGCGTACCAACATCAGAATTATAGGGGTACCAGAAAATGAGAGAGAGCAAGATATTGAAAACCTATTTGAAGAAATAATGACAGAAAACTTCCCCCACCTGGTGAAAGAAATGGACTTACAGGTCCAAGAAGCGCGGAGAACCCCAAACAAAAGGAATCCAAAGAGGACCACACCAAGACACATCATAATTAAAATGCCAAGAGCAAAAGAGAAAGAGAGAATCTTAAAAGCAGCAAGAGAAAGAAACTCAGTTACCTACAAGGGAATACCCATACGACTGTCAGCTGATTTCTCAACAGAAACTTTGCAGGCCAGAAGGGAGTGGCAAGAAATATTCAAAGTGATGAATACCAAGAACCTACAACCAAGATTACTTTATCCAGCAAAGCTATCATTCAGAACTGAAGGTCAGATAAAGAGCTTCACAGATAAGGAAAAGCTAAAGGAGTTCATCACCACCAAACCAGGATTATATGAAATGCTGAAAGGTATCCTTTAAGAAGAGGAAGAGGAAGAAAAAGGTAAAGATACAAATTATGAACAACAAATATGCATCTATCAACAAGTGAATCTAAGAATCAAGTGAATAAATAATCTGATGAACAGAATGAACTGGTGATTATAATAGAATCAGGGACATAGAAAGGGAATGGACTGACTATTCTTGGGGGGGAAAGGGGTGTGGGAGATGTGGGAAGAGACTGGACAAAAATCGTGCACCTATGGATGAGGACAGTGGGTGGGGAGTGAGGGCGGAGGGTGGGGCGGTAACTGGGAGGAGGGGAGTTATGGGGGGAAAAAAGAGGAACAAATGTAATAATCTGAACAATAAAGATTTAATTAAAAAAAAAAAAAGAAAAGAAAAAAGATCTCAAGAAACCTAACCTGCCATCTCAGGAATCTAGAAACAAAACAAGAAAGTAAAACAAAAGGTGGGAAAGGAATGAAACTATAAATATTTGAACAAGCATCAATAAAAGGGACATAAGACAAAATAAAAGAACACCTAAAGGTACTTTTCTAAAAAATACAAAAATTGGCAAACCTTGAGCTAGAATAAAGCAAATAAACACACAAACAAAAATAAGCCTCAAAGAAATGAAGAAAGAAGTGAAAGATAAACATTACACGTGACACTATGAACCACAAAGCTTGGTGATAGATGTTGATGATAGGAGCCAAGATTACCCTCCAGAGAGAAATTTGTCAAGATCCCATATGAGCTTCTGAAATTAATAAACAAATTTAGAGCCCTGGCCAGGTAGCTCTCTTGTTGAGTGTGTGGTCCTGATGCACCACGGTTGTGGGTTTGATACCCCATCAGTGCACATGTAGGGGACAGTTAATAAATGCTTAGATGGGTAGAACAGCAGATCAATGTTTCCTACTCTTTCTCTGTCTTCCTTCCTGTCTCTAAAATCAATAAATAAAGGCTGCCCAATACGGCTCAGTGATTGAGCATTGCATCGACCCATAACATAGGCAGTCACAATTCCATTCCTTGTCAGGGGACATGCACAGGTTTCCAGCCCAATGTCCAGTGGGGGTGTGCAGGAATCACCTGATCAATGACTCTCTCTCATTATTCATGTTGTATCGCTGTCTCCTTCTTTTCCTCTCTGAAATCAATAAAATATATTAAAAAATTAATTAATTAAAGAATAAATAAATAGCCATGCCAGTGTCGCTCAGTGCTGAGAGTGCCTGCGTGTACACTGGAAGGCCATGAGTTCGATTCCCAATAAGATGCAGGTAGGTGAGTTTCAGGTTCAATCACCCCTCTTAGTGGGGGCACATGTGGGAGGCAACCAATCGATGTTTCTCTCTCTCTCTCAGCCTCTCCTCTCTCTGACTCTCCCTTTCTCTCCCGCTCTCTCTCTAAGGAAAAAAAATCACTGCAAAAAATATTCCCACTATTTAGATGAAGATAAAAGAAGAATAAAAATTGAGTTCAGAAAAGTTACAGAAAGGAGATCCAAGATGGCGGTGTAGCAAAGGCCTATACTCGCTGCATCCCACAACCACATCAAAATTACAACTAAAATACAGAACAACCATCAGCCAGAACCGCTGGAAAGCTGGCTGAATGGAAGTCTTAGGACGAGATAAGTGGTAGGAGGTAAAGAGGCTCGGAAGGTGCTGGTCCTGTACCGATGTGGGCCACTTTTTTAATTGGGAGGGAGGTCGTCTCTGCAGAGGTCACCTGGAGGAGCAAGGGGTCCCAGTAACACACAAGACACACAGCACAGGGTCCCAGAGGTGGGGAAAAAATGTCCCTACTGGCAGTAA